TTAGGGTTTATTTATTCCATTTAAAAAAAGTTCAAAGGGGTAATAGGTCTCCTCTGAAGTATAAGTGTGTAGTTGGGTTTTCGAAATAGGTTGGAGGGATTTTAGACCATTTTCTCTAAGTATATATACACAATATCAAAGTAGAAGAAAATGTGCTTCAGTGAAAAACACTACTCAATTACTTCATGATACCATTAGAGTATATATATACTCTAATGACATCAAGGAGGAAAATACAGTGTTTCAGTGAAAAGACTGTTTGATACTATCAGAGTATATAGATAACATCAAAGTATATATATATTCCGATGGTATCAACACTGATTCAATGATTTTAAAAAATAAATATTATCGATGTATATATCTTAAACATTTCGAATAAAGTGGCGCATTCCCATTTTACATAATGAGATGGATAACAGGAAAACTTTTAGTTTGGTTGCTTAAAATTTAAATGGCAGATGATAAAAAGTACCTAAATTAATCTATCCTCAATACTCTTGCGTGCTTTATAGTTTAACTCTTTGGTATCAGAAATTTATGAATTTGACTAATTTGGATTTACGATATTTGAAGTACTCCTCCAATAATAGAAAAACGCTCACTAGTAAGAGATGTTGGTGTAATATATAATTAGGAATTATGCACTTTAAAATAATACTAAAATGCTTAAAATACAACATGAGATTTTCCTTTGTCAATATTCAAATTTGATACTTCTGATCAAGAGTGAAAGAATTCCATCGTGTCTTATTATATAGCCATTCATTTTGAAAGAGGCTTATAAATTGCTAGACACTTCGATTTTACTGGAAGAAAAAAAGAATCACAATTGTAGAATTTTTCCAGTTACGTGCACCCAATTAATAACCTGATGCATGCATTTTTGAATTTATTTGAACTAAGATATGTTGATTTGCTTAATTAAATATTGACCTTTGAATTAGTATATGATTCTGCTATAAAAATTGCTGAATTAAAGCAAGAACGACGTTTACTTGCTTCAAGGTGGCTAACTAAAACCACTCAAGTTTGAGTCAGACATAATATTATGAGTTTAATTAATTTTTATATACCATAGTGTGTGCAATTTGTTTTTTTTTACGCTATATCATTTAAATGATATTTACATATTATTAAGCCTCCTTAGAATAATAGATTTGAAATCTTGAAAAATAAAATATATTACCTACGGGTGAAATAACGTGATAATATATAAAAATTATTTGAACTGACAATGTATATTACTTATACTCTAATATTTTATGTATTGTGATGTAACTGTATGTTTAAACTTCAAAGACGGAATACATCGATAATCCTTTAAACTTACCTGTAAATTTTATTTAGATAGCCAATTGTTGAGCACCTGAACACATGATAAAGTGTTCCTATTAAACATGACTTTTGACTCATAATTTTTGAAAAAGGTTTTGAGTGTTCCAAGCGTTCATTATGTAACACCTACACCAAGTAAAATATGTCATCTTCTTCAATTACACATATTAACCTTAATATGAATTTTTCCAACCGTGTAGAGCCCCATTTAGGGTAAGCCTTCCGTACTAAGGATTTTTCCATACGATGTGTGTGTATTCAACTAACTTCAAAAGTATCCTTAGATTTTGAACTTGTTGGGTCATACTCATCGATGAGCCCATGATTAAGCTATGAGCTAGGAGGGAGGACAGCGTGGTACTATGATATAAGCAATTCGTAAAAAATTCAAAATCAAGAGGTACAAGTTTCTATCTAATAGACCCCCCCTCCCCTCAAGACCACAATATATATAAGCATGTCCACATTATTCTTTAAAAAAAAGAAAATGGTCACTTTCCATCACTATGTATGTATGATTCTTGTTTTTTATATTTCCAAAAGAAAAAACGAAATCGTAATAACTAGAAAAATGTTTGTGAAGGGGAAAATCTTAATAGTTTATTAGTTGGTTGACTGTCTAAACTTAAAATAGTTTATTATCAGCTAATTACCCTATATATCCGGTCGATCATTAAAAGTCCTTCAAAAATTTGGGCTTGTAATAGTGCCTTAAGGTTGGGATCGGAAGGTGGACTATAGATTCAGAAGGCTAAACAAATTAAACTATACTCTAGAAAATAGAAATGATGAACAATTTAAAAGTACTTATACCGTTAATAATTAACAAACAAATTACAAGTTAGATGTGCTACATATATGAATCGTTTCGAGTAAATCGTATATCAAAACATCGAGAAGAGCTCATATCTAAATTTTAGGACTATTTAGACTAAAATTTAAGTTGAATGTGTAAAAATTCAAAAGTAATTTTACTCACAATTTCTATGACTTGAATATATACCATCCTTATAGGCTTACACTATTAATAATTAATTAAGTACCTGTTAGGTCACATTCATCTTTTTAATTCAAGGTTCCCATGACTAAGAGATGAGCTAGTAGGGAGAACAAGGTGGTACTATATATAAACAATTCGTAAAAATATTCAAATCAAGAGGCAACAAAAATATATAATCACTTTCCATCACTATGATTAATTCTTGTTCTGAAATTTCCACACACCACAAGTGTAACTGTTTACTTCCTTTAGAACATGGGATTTTAAGGGGACCAATAGATTCAAGACAGTAAATCAGAAAAATAATATGGGGCCAACACATTTGGTACTCAATTTTTTTACGTACTATATACTTAATAAGGTTTGACAAATATATATTGCCTTGCAAGGTGAGGTGTCATGGTGAATTTATTATAAGAGATCCAAAATAAAAGACAAGGTGCTGGGGTACTCTGAATCCTTTGCCTTTAGGTTTAGGACAAAGTAATAACTATGGTCTATGGAAAGACCTTCATTAATGAATGATTTTTCAAAAAGGGTCCATTGGAGGTTTTCGTTAGGGTAATGCAAAGTAATAGGTCAAAAATCAAGTTATTTCTAGAAATAAGCTTTTATTTTATGCGAAATTTATGAAAACATAAATTATCAGTAATGTTAAAAGATGACCTACGACATATGATGATCATGATCCGATAAGCATAATTATTATAATGAGGTTTTGCAATAATCTATAAAAATAGAAAATGTAAGAGTATCACTTCGAGATTGAAACATTAGTTATCATTTTCATGCATGGAACCAGTATTATAAGATTTCTTTAAAATGAACTAAAAAGAAAATTAGGACAAATACATTTAAAATGAGCTGAGTAAACAAAGTAGCAACTTTTGTGTTGTAACTTGTGAGTTTCTAGTACTTGAATGACCAAATATTCCTGAGCTTTCCTCTATAAGATCTTCCTTTGACGTATTCACAACTCTCAAAAGTCAAACCTATACTTTCGTCGTCTTATATTAATTGATTATTTTTCTTTTTATACATTCATATTACTAAAATCATAAATAAGAAGGATAATTTTAAATTCACTCTTTAAAAAACTTTTTAAAATTTTTATAAATAAATGTGAATACTCTTAAAAAGAATTAACAGCAAAGGTGATATAGAAAAATTTCCTTTTAATTGACACTTTCTTAATTTAGTACGAAAGATAACTAATATGAGATAGTAAAAGTAATACTTTATCTATCCCTAATTACTTGTCCTATTTTTTTTTATTTGTCCCTTATTACTTGTCTAATTTGACAAATCAAGAAAAGATAAATTCGTTTTACTTATTATATCCTTAATTAATTGCTTTCTAAAAGGTAGAACTTGTTAAAAATCTTAAATTTATAATGATTGACTGCCAAATTCTTGGAATAAAATCGAATAAATTTTGGACCATTTGTTGTTTTGGGGACGTAAAACACAAAATTTCGATAGATGATCAACTTTTTATGTTACTAATAGGAATACACATTTAATTAGAGAGCAGACATGAAATTAATGACTTGTCTCTGCCGACACTTAGTTCACCGCCCAAACTCATCAAACCATAAATCGTGAGTTACAAGTATAATAATCGGCAAGATACAAATTAATTTTATTTCATATTGGCTGAAATTCGCTAATTTCGAAATAGTTATTTTTATATAAAGATAAAATAACGAATTGTCTAATTCTATAAGATATGAAAAAAAATAATGTATAGCTAAGGGTTTTCTTTGTCGAAGTTCTTCACATTTTACGCACTTTTTTTTTCCAAGTATAAACGAAAGCTGGTGTTTGAGCCTTGCAACCAATGTCCAAAGGATTTAAATTTTTTTTTATATATATATACTAAAAGTTTTCACCGGTAATAATATGCTTAATATTTGTATTAGGTCAGCAATTAATGCTAATAAAGTTTTACATGCAACAACTTCATAAAGCTGACTTGACCGATCGAATAAATATCTCCTTTGAGTGAACATAGAAAACTAGAATTTTCCATTATAGAAACGCCAAGTTGTTCAACCCTCAATTTGATCGTGTAATTAGCGCAAACAAATCTAGAAACACTTATATATATTGAAAACCTCAAGAGATCAAGTGTATGTAATTACCCAAACTAGGGACTAATTCATCGATTTAGAGCTACAAGTTTGTTAATCCAGTTTTGAGTCGTCCAATTATACCTATGCTAATTAATGGGGGAATATAATCACTAATCAGTAACGTAACAAAAACTTATATCGTTAATTTCAAAAGACGGTATAAGTAGAGTGAGTTTTAAATCTCAGAAGATTTTAGTCGTTTGAGTGGCCATATTGCTCAACAAATAAGTATAACTAATTGAGTAATTATCTGAGAAATCGAACTACAACTATATATTGATTATTGCATATAAATTTTCATCGTCGTCATTAGTAATACTACAACCAAGATATAAAATCAGGCTTTGAAGCACCACAGGTGATGATGGTGGTTGTGATGAACGTCCTTATCAATCATGCCCTCAACGTAACGAAACTCGTCGATATTACAGGGTATATTTAAGGGACCATTGTGATGAAATCCGTAGACTTGCTCTGCTTCTTTTAACAATTGTGTGAAGAGAGGATGATTAATATGCATTACAGGTATCACGAATTTCTGCTGCTGCTCATCTCCTTGACCCACCAACACCGTAACGCATCCTCTCGGTACTGTATCCCTCAATTCCTCCTTCGTATGATGATGAAGGTGAAATGGAAAATAAAATTGAACATGGAAATTCAGATGATGATTGTGATTGTGTTTATTTCCGCTCCCCATTGATAAATTGTTCAAGTTTGTGGAGCTGAATCAGAAAAATTAGGAGAAATTAATTGATCAGAAGAAAAATAGCTAGATTGAAGAGGGTGACAGAAGAGTTAGTTAGAGATTTAGGTATGTTGCTCATAATATATAATGAGAGAATTAAGAGATTTATTTTGAATCTAGTTTTGTAAATGGGCAAAGGGAGAATGTGTCAAAAGCCGCTTAATTGATTACTTACGGATCGGAAGAAGAGAAGGTGGGTGGGTGTGTTCCAGACGCGGAACAACTGAGGCTAAAATTCCCACTAATTACCGCCTCTAAGGAGGAGGTTACAACTCGTAAGGACATTCAAGAAATATACCTACAATATGTCATTTATTTATGGTTATTCCAAATAAGGTGAGTTTAAAAAGTTTTATAATACACACAACTAGAGATTTATTATTCTCCCAGTTTCTTATCTTTTTGAGTTTAGTTATCATTCGTGGATTTTTTTATATTTTTAATTATTATTGTATTTTATTATGATTAATACTCTCTCTATCCAACATAGTTATCCACTATTAACTTGACATATTTCTTAAAAAACAATAAATAATAGAGGTAATAATATCACATTATCCTTTGATTTTATTAAATTTAATACTTTGAAAATCTGTTAGATGATAAATAACATTTAATGACAACGGTAAAATAGACACAAAAAATAAATTATCTTTTGATTTCTAAATTAGACAAGTATTATTGAATAAATATTTTTAGTATAATGGACAACTATTGTTGGACAGAGGGAGTATTTGAGATGATTAGTTAGATTGTCTATAGTCTTTTACAATGATTGACTTCATTTTTGTTCTTCTTTTTTCTATACTACTTCAGATTATTTTTTTCTTCAATTGAATGTGTTGACATCGAATTTTGGCCTAACATTTTAAAATTTTTTTAACTTTTAAGCTTTTATTTATTTAATAGTTCAAAATACATTTTTTATAATTTTAATTAAGTTTATCGATAACTATCTTTATTTGTCAAAATTTAAGATTTTTTTTATCAGTTAATTTTAATTACATTATTTTTTGTCACAATCAGTTGACTACGTTCTAATATTTATTCATTTTGATTATATAATTAGTTCTGATAAATTGCATTTTTTACGTATCATTAGCTACGTTCATTATACTTTTTAGTAATCATTATATTTGTTATATTTGTCAATATTAATTTTGAATATTTTGCACAGTCTAAAAATTTATTTGAATATGGATAAAATTTCATCCAAAGATATTTTTAAAAGCTAATGATTTTGATGCACGATTTTTAAGAAATGATATTGTACTATAGATAATTTTTTATTTTCTATATAAACAATGACTTATTCATCAGGTCAAGATTGGTGTATAAGATTTGTAGGAGGTAAATTAAAGATTTTTTATTCTTTAATTATTCATTATTTTCAGGCAAGTGCCGGAGTTCCGCCGGGATCCGGCGAGTCCACCACCAAAAATCCCATTTCTTCGTTCTCCTCTTCACTGTCAGTTCCTCCCAAACCACACAGCCTCTCTTTCCTCTGTTCACTTTTTCCGACCAGAAACCCCACAAAGACCACCACCAACTGCTCCATTTCCTTCATCAAAAATCAGACCCACCGGAAAACAAACCAAGCTCCACCACCGGAGTCACTCCAGACGCTCATTTTACTCTTCTTTCCAACCACCAACTCGCCGCTTCCACGAACTCAACCCAAAAACCCCATTTTCCAGTGAGCTTAAAGCTCCAATAAACGACCACCCCATTTCCTTCTCTTCCCCGACCAAACTCACCACCGTTCTCCCTCAAACCAGATCCCTAAACCTCACTCATTTCCGCCCAAAAACCCCAACCAAAACAATCCTTTTTTTCCAGCGAACAAACAACACCGAATCAAAACCCCACAAAACAGCAACCAAACGACCCTCCAAACCCCATCCAACGAGTTTGAAGCTCAAAGATTCAATGATTTAACCAAGCAACAACAACTTAGCTATCATATTTAGTTATTGATTTAATGTTGCTTTGTCTTTTTCCAGCAATCTTTTAATGAGTTTTTTTTAATATAAGGTTATCTTTTGATAGTCTGTGTGGTTTACTCTTTGGAATATAATTTTAACACTCTTGTTTATTATTATTATTATTAGTCTTGTTATTATTGTTACTGTTGGTGTTGTTATTGGTAATATTATTATTATTATTACTATTATTATGTTTGTTCATGTTGTTTGAAGTTAATTTAAATTACTTTATGTTTTATTAAATTGTTCAACAAGTTATAATTGACCAATGAGAAAATTTCTCCGTCGGTTTTGGAGGCCTTTATATTGTAAAAGATGGAAATTTAATTTAAGTTAATATATTTTTGTAAGTTAAAATGGCCGATGAAGAAATTACCGTTGATTATCAAGGCCTCCCATGTTAATAAGACGGGTTTTTATTTTGAAATTTGTTATTTGAGTTGTTCATATTTATTTATTATTAACACTTTTACTAAGTGTATTTACAGGTATCCCAGAGTTATTTTCCGTTGAAGCTATTCCAATGGAGTTCAAATATATTTTATATTCATTATTGTGTATATTATCGATGTTAGGCAAACATTAGGCCCTTTTTTATATTATTGTTTTGTTTTATTACTTGTGTATATCGCATGTTTGTTTTACTTGTATACTGTTTTATCTCCTCCTCAATTTGAAAAACTGAATTCAGTCAGGACCACAGTTGTGGATTTCGAATGATACCTAACACCTTCCCTTTGGAATAACTTGAACCCTTATCTAAAATATATTGGTTTCGTAGACATTTTTAATTTGTTTCCTAGTTTTTCCTAAAATTAGGTGGCGATTCTTTTAAAATTCGTTTATTCTTAAAATTCTTTTAAAATTGAATTAGGTGGCGACTCTTTTAAAATTCTTATTTTCTTAAAAAAAATTTAAAATTGAATCAAATGTTTATTTTTTGAGTCATCACAACGTTTCTCCCTATTTGAATAGAGTAGAGATGTAAATAGAATGGTCTATTGGAAACAATATTTACCTCTAAAATAATAGTAAGAGATATGTATACACTCTATCCTCCTCATCTCCGCTTTATGAAATCACATTGAGTATATAGTTATTGTTATACACCATGAGAGGTTGAATTTTATATATTCGATTAGAATTGTATCAATTCGATTTATATTTGTTATCTCTATTTGCTCTATATATGTTATATCTATTTACTTTAATATAGAGCGAAGATATACAACATACACTAAATGAATTGATATATAGATAATTAGATACAAAGTAAGTTGAGATACAAAACTAATACGCATTACATTTATAATTAGTGATCTCTTTCTTTCGATGCAATTTAATTAATTGTTCACTTCTTGAAAGAAAAGCGAAAACAAAAAAAAAGTCGTGGTTATTTTTCTACTAAAAAGTATGGTCAGAAATTATAGAAAGGAAGAACAATGTAAAACAGAATATAAGTTTATTAAATAGACAGTGTATATTCTAGCTATGGTAATTTGAATCATAATATAATTTATAGTAAATAGTCGGTTAAATGACATTAATAGTATGATTTTTTTTATAAATATTGTCGACGTATATATCTTAAAAATTTCGAATAAAATGGCGCATTCCGTCTCACATAACGAGAAGGATATCAAGAAAACTTTTAGTTTAGCTGCTTAAAGTTTAAATGACACATGATAAAAAGTACCTAAATCAATCTACTGAGATTTTGCGGTGCTTTTAGGATAAAATTTTACTTTAATTATGAAGCAAGAGATAAATCACCCCCCACATCTCAATTTGTTGGTGTAATATACCGCAAATATATTAAATTACAGTAGAAATAAAATGACAAAAACGAATAAACAAATCATTAGGCTGAGACATGGATTTTTCGCTCTCTTTAATTACACCGATCCAGCAGTATCACTCTTGACTTGTCTACTCCAAGATACAACAACCCAACAACGTGTACAACTCAAACAACTCCGAATTAGTTGAAGAGTTCAAATCTCCACATAAAAACACCTTTCTTCAATATATAAATGTTCTCTTTTGTATATAGTGAATATAGTTGAAGACTTTGAATATTTTCTTTGTCTCAACTCTCTCTTTCACTAGTACACACTAAAATATTATTTCACACTTCTCATCTTTCTTAGTATCTCTTGTTGCCTCTACTTCTCTTGTTTCTTCTTATTTCTCAACACAAAGGAAGACCACACTATTTATAGGTGATGAATTCTTCCTTGCAATGAATAGGAAGATAGTGGGTAGTAAATTTGCCAAATGAGTGGCCCAAATCAGAAGCGGATTCAGGATTTCAAGTCTCTAGGTGCCAAGTAGGTTCATCGGTTAAATCAATTTTAGGCTTCAGTTGAATTATTCGTCTTTTCGGTCTATGACAAATATGAACAATAATAAGATGACAATTTATGTATTATATATACTACAAATTCTTTGCACATGAGTCATGCTAATCTTCTCCACATTATTTCAATTTTATCAGATGTCTCCAACGGAGCAACAATTTATCGTTTTAATTTAGATGCTCTTGTTGAAAGTCAAATTCAAGACCGATAACGGAAGATTTTCTCTCACGTAATATTTGGGAAAAATCATTTTAATTCAATTGGTTGACTATTTGAACTGTCACCTTACTATTTTCCCTTCCCTTCACTACCTCCATATATAAATACAAGTTTGCACCCACATTTGATTGAGATCATAAAGTAAACAAAGTTAAAACTTTCAATTATACTATAAATATCAAAAATATTGATCATTCATTTATAATTGTACTTGACAAATTTTCATATTTTGAAAATGATCAATGACGATATCATTGCTTGTATTTACAAATAGATCACGTTTTAGGTAACACACTAGTCAAAAATACTTATAAAT